TATAACATCATCATAGACAACTATTTTTATTAATTTCCATGATCAAAGCATAACGTAGTCTTCATTATTCGCAGTAAAATATGTCTATATTATAAGAATAATCAAAGTTTATATGTTTAAAGGGAGAATAAATAGAAGTGAATACAAAAATTGGAAAACGGTCAACAGGCATTCACAATGAAAACAATTACATGTTTATTTGAAAAATATAAAGAATAGTAAAAAAATTGTCTTATAATAACTTATTTCTCCTAAAACAATTCATAGTACTCAACTTGTTAAAATTTACGGGGATAGTTTCAATGAAAATCTAAAAAATACGAATTTGGTTTCTTCTCTATATACTTTCCCATTAAGTTGACATGCTTCTATAATAATAATAATACATTCTATAAGTTCCTAAATACAATATTTTAATTCCAAAAGTTAAAGAGGGTAAAAATTAAATTAAGTTTATAACACATTAGAACAAAAAAAATGAAAATCTTTTGCCTAAATATATTTAAGTTTACATTTACTTTTAGTATCTTTCATTTAAAAATAATATAATAGTTTTTTTTAAACATTGATGAATTTTAAGCAAATTATTATGAACACGAAGTTAAGTACTAGTAAAAATAATCAACTTTAAAATACAATAATTTATTATTAGTGTTAGATCGAAGTGTCCCATTTTGCGCAAAAGACTAATTTTGTTAAGTGAATTGGGCGTCACCCCGTGTTTATTTTTCTTTTAAACTTTTCCATTCTAATTTTTAGTTGAAATTCTAATTTAGTAATATTAATATTACTAAATTAGAATTTAAATTTATTGAACCATAAATCTGAAAATACAATGATAAATTTTCTAATGAATACATTGATATTAAATATTATAATGAATACATTGATATTAAATATTATATAACACTTTAAGCAAATTTTATGATTGCATTGTGTGGTTTTTACACGTAACTGTCCGATTGAAAATAAATAATGTACTCTTAAACATAATAAGTAATTTGAATAAAATACAAAATAAAATTTGCTATTTTTAAATTTTTAGAGATATTAAATATACCAAATATTTTGTTTAAATAGTACCTATGATATTACAATCTGCCTCAGGCGTAAATTACAGATTTATTACAAGAATACATACAATTTTTATTAACTTTGAAACAATTGAAGATATCAAATTTTCAATTTCAAAAATATCACCAACGAGTAAGTCAACAAATTAATAATTGTATTTAGTTAAAGATATTACCCATAAACATCAAAGAAAGTTTTCTTGTTTCCTGAATAAAAATTTGTATTGAAACATATCCGATAAATAAAGTTCAATAAAGATGCTATAATTAATGATATATCATCAGTGATCAGATTTTAATGAAATTATAAGATTTATTAGAACCATACTGTGGTCTGAAATCAAAGATGTTTTAACTTTTATCTCCCAATTTAAGGAAAAAAACTAATGAGTTCCTTCTCTGTTTAAAAGATAATTAATTTAAACTTAAAAACAGATTTAAATTTATTCAAATTTAGAGGTACAAAATGGGGCAAAATTTTGTGTGGCATATAAATATGTATCTCTAATATGACTGATTTTAAATTTAATATCTGATATAAAATTTACCATAATTTTAAGATGAAAAGAGAGGACAAAGATTTTAAAGATAATTTTTTTTTTTTTGCATACAAAATATATGTTTATATGCAGATTTCAAATTTTATTATTAGTTTACAAATTCTTAGCCATTTGAGAATAATTAATTAAAAAAAATCCAGCACGTGACATAGTTGGGGATCCAGTATCGATTTAATCTGACAGTGATTAAAATCACTATCAAAAAAAATTCTTTTTTTGAAAAATATGAAAAAGCATTTTTTGAGAGTAGAGAACTCAGATATATATTCGTACTATTATTTTATAAAGTATCTCAATCTATATTTAAAAACATTTCTAAAGTCATTTTAGTAGGTTTATTGTATTCAACTCATTAAATACTCCTTATAAAAAACAAACACTGAGATTTATGAACATTCTGTTTATAAAATATGCACGTTTTTATTTATTGACGAAAAATATATTATTTATATTATATTAATATTTATGTATTATTATATCCTATATATTTTTCAGCTATAGCTTATTTTTAATATTTAAAAAATAAATGACGATAAGTTAATCTCTCTTCCAAAAATATTTGAATTTTGAACTTGAGAATCGTATAGATATTATAGGGTTGAATTCAAATTTTATTGAGTCCGACCTTATTTTTTTTTTTTTTGTTAACGCCTTATAAACCCCTTAAGGGCTATATCGCCCTCTCCTCCAAAGAAGGAGGTGTCTTAACCATTGATACTCCAGAACGAGTGGTTAGTCCGTCGCCGGAAAAAGGGATGACGACTCCAATTACCGAATTTTTCTCTGGCTCGGCAAATGAAGCCATCCGTGACTGAGTTTCGAACCCGAGACAGTACTGCCGCATTATCGACTCGGTCACACCGTCTCTAGAATTTGATCTTAGATTGATTAGAATAGAAAGTGTCGAATTTTTCAGGCATCTCTTGAAAATTGTTATGAATTTGTCACTAGAAATATTGATTAGCTATGAATAGATTGTCTATTATTAATGATCTATGGATTTCATCATATCTACTGTACTGAAATATGAATTAATTCCACGTGAATATTATTTATTTTGTTTATATGAAAACATTGTTTTAAAATTTAAAATTAACATCACAAAATCCATTAAAACAGTTTGTCTTTCACATAATTTTAATAGCTACGCAATGTAATGATAAGGAGAAGGACTGATATAATCAGTTTTTAATATACAAACATTTTTTAGAGGTCTAAGACCTCTCTGTATTACACAAAATGCGAAATTACGTTATTTTATTGTTTACTTAACGCTACAGTAACCACGTGTATAGAGAAAAATTCATGTGCTTAAGTATATTTCATTTAAATAATTAATGGACATAAATATATGAAAAAATGTCCAGAAAGGAATATCTAAAATGTTTTGTTTTTATGTTATTTCATTTTGTTATTAATGACAAATTGATAAAGTAACTAACATATTTAAAAATATAATGGTGTAACAGTTTAATTAAAATGTCTCAAACCTTGAAATTAAGTAATTAAGAGGGAAAAAGTTATAAAATATATAAAAACTATATTAAATATGCAGTTAGCACTGATTGACACAAAATTTTTGTCGAAGTATATATTTTCTTACGGTTTTTGTAATATATATATATATATGTATATATATATATATGTATATATATATGTATATATATAAAACTTAAAATTAAAATTTGTTATAATCTACAAATATTATTTATCGATTAAAATATTATTTATCTGTACGCTCATAGAGTAAAATAATATTTCTTATATTGGATTGAATTTTCGTTAAATCCCAATTTATTCTCTTTAAAAACTAAAAATATATTTGAAATAATCGTTACACACAAAAAATGTTTTATATTATTTTTTCATGATCTTAAAGTTTCCATGTTGATTGAACTAGAAAATGTATTTATCATAAAATTACAATTTATTGTATTATGTACAACTTGAATCAAGTTAGAAATATATTTTTTGAATAATATCCCTACAAAAATGGTATCTACTGTTAAAAAAAATAAAAATATATTTTACTTATGTTCTTTTCGATAACACGCCAAATATGGTAAAAAGGCTGGAACATTGCCACTATACATTTTACGTCGAACTGTGGAATGTATTTTGAGAGCCACGAATTTTGAATATATCGAAATGAAATCGTACATCTCATAATGCAATAATATTATGTTAGTTGAGTATTACATTAATATAAAAAAACATAAGAAAACTTAATTACCTTAACATGGTTTTTATTCTCACAAAATGTTTATCATGAGATTATCGTCATGTTAACTTCTCCGTGATAGGAATTATTTAATTGCAAATAGAGTTTATAAATGTTTGTATTCGCATAGACGTTATATTTATGAAAATCCAACTGGTGATATCTACAAGAAGTCGGTCGTATATGAATAGTTGAACTACCTTATGCCTTTGAAATTATGACAACGTGTAGTAGTAAAAAATTCAAAATTAAATAATGAAAGGTGTAATCAATAGCATATAGACGTTGTAGAATAAAGTAATTTTAATTGTTTATTTAACATCGCACAGAAATGATCATTTAGCACACAAGGCTTAGGTTAAATTGAGCTACTGGAATTAATTATATCGAGGAAGCCACCCAAGAGTGATTTTACTGTTGCGCTCTTTTATTTGTTTTTAATTAAAGTAAAAAAAAAAAAATCGAAAATAAATAATTACTCGTATAGTAAAACATGATACAAAAAATATAAAAAATTAAATATTGATTGCAAAATAGCTTATCTATAATGGCCTATCTATAAATTAAAATCAAACTATACATTTTTATAAAAATACAAAACTGTGTCAAAAAACTCAACAGAGTCTTGTGTATAAAACTTCAGATATTGTTCCCGACAAGGTTGCTGCATTCACAGTTGTCAATAATTATTGTTAATAGGGTATTTAATGTTGTATTTGATAAAAATTGTTGTTGAATTACAGTAAAAATGGGATCGGAACAGGTGTATTCAATTTGAACAGCGTTGTTCAATAAACCAGCATTTTTGATTTTTTTTTTTTTTAATACTTAACGATACAAAATGATATTTTGTAAACGACAAATATGTCTATTAAAATTAAAAATATATTTGTGTAGCAAAGATTTTCTGTTATTGCAAAATGTCGATAACGCAGTATAGTTTTTTCTCCTGTAGAATCGTGTGAATAAATAATGCGTAGCCAGTCAAAAGGGGTTGTATTCGACGGTATACATTGAAGTTGTGGTGGTTGTAGTGAGTGTGTTTTTTGTAGTTGTGTACGGGTCGGTGCATAACACGTTATGAGGTTTGGTTGCAGCGACCGAGGACGTCTACGATAGAATTCAACACATGGCCGGCGTCCTCGTTGTTCGTTTCGCCACTGCCGTCAGTCGCCGACACACCGTCACAGCGCGAGTTCACGGATAGTTTACCATCGGACCGAGAATCGGTGTGCCAGATCTTCACCATACGATCCGTGTCCAACGTGCGCTGAAAAATACCTTTTTTTTTTTGTTTCTTTCAATTCATTATTTGTTTGGTCATTTTTCAAGTAAACAGTTTTTGCCAAATGATCCCACGTGCGATATATTAAACCGGTAAGTGTATTTACATGAAATCACGATTAAAAACAAATATTTGCGATTAAATCTCAATATAACGAGGGACCACCGAAATAGCAGCATAGAATTTGTATAATTCATCTCAACCAAATTGGAAGAATAGTTCCAAACACACCGTTGGAGTGTCATTGGTTATCGCGATCCGCTAGTATATTTCTTATGTGTCAACATTTTTATTTCAAAAGGAGTGAATTCAGAGTAGGCAAACAGAATTTTTTCTCTTTCTAAATTTTTTATTTGGTTTATCCATAACTAGTTTATTTTATTGATAATACGTTGAATCCAGTATTTTTACCTTATACGAATAAATCAATATTTTCATTGATTAAAAATCGATTTTCGTTCATTTTATTTTATTTAATCCTGCGAGAAATCACTGACGTTGGTCTAAAAACTACAACTTTAATGATTTTTATGAATATAATTAAACTCAAATGTTTTAAGCGATACGATAGTTTACTTTTAAAACATGTAATAGAAATGTATTTACTTCAAACGGTTGAGCAGGCGTAAAAAAATTCAATAGCTGTGTGTACGCAAAATGTTTGTTAGTAAAAAAAAAATCGTGAACTATTTTTACCTCGACTAAAACGACTTTAGTTTTGTATAATGCACACAACTTTGGTGTGAAGGGCAAAAGGCCATTTTATAATTTCCTACCCCTCGTCCGAGAGCTGAGAAATCGCGTGACAATACCCCGACCAGTCATTGTGCACGCTATTGGTACCTATATACAGACAAACAGTATTCTCTAAACGTAATCATCGCGTTTTATACTTTGGCATAGTAAATATTAATTAAATATTATTCATAGAAACTACCTCACGGCCTTCGCAACGATAGATAAGTAAACTTGTTTATAACCGGAATGTCGAGGTAGACCATAATTCGGTCAAATGATTTTTAGTTAAAAAATAAATTAACATTTTACAATTCGAATATTTTTTAAACAGTAAAATTACATGAAAAATTATTTTACCTAACTGAATTAATGTTATCTGTGTTGCGGCATTTACTTATCGACCACTGTCGAAGATGAGAGTTCAATGTTTAGGAGATGGTGCATATTTTATCCGGAAAAGATATCTATGCAGAATTCAAATGGGGAGACAAGACCGCGAATAACTTAGCATACATTTCCAGTTAGAAACTGCTGATTTCTACATATTTCAATTAATCTTTCTTAATCATTTAACAATCCACTGTCATACGATAATAACATACAATTTATTTATGTAAATAATATAAACATTAACCAAAGACATAACGATCGATAAAGGTGACAATAGACATGTAGCCACTGTAGTCATCAACGAACGTGAATAAATTAGTAAACAACAACCCAATATTTGGTTGCTAAGGACGTACTAAGTATTATTATACTTGTTTGCAAGTCATTTCCACTATAATTGCTGATAAATCATTAGCGTACAATGAAATTTACTATGGATCTCCCACCCCTATAGCAGCTAATATTGTAATACTTGTAAGGACATTACAAACAGTAGGTAAATTTTCAAGGTGTTTTACTCGTTAAAATATATGAAAATGAAGTATTTAACATAACTTACTGTTATTGCCTGATCGCAGTGAGTGTATCATTGTACCATGTGTTTTATTGGAATCCTAATTCCCAAAGAAGTCTTGAAATTATGTGATTCTAAAATAACTTGTCTAGCTATGAATGTCTGCCAACAGCTCACGAGCAAGTGGCTGAGAGCAAAAGGGACAGATTTGATATTTTTATGGAGCACATGTACTCTTTTCATAAGACATACAGTTGAAAATACTGAAAATTACTGAACGTAATAAATATGTATTTGATATTTTTATCGACTACTCGATGATACGCGAATAACAACCAAGAAAAAAATATCAACGATTGACATTGCACTAGGCTTTTAGGGCGTCTAGGGGCGTAGTGGATTATTTAGCCGTCGCCATAGCGTCGATGTTCATCTGCGCTGTTTGCTGGTTCTCGGATGGGTGACCATAAGATACGAGAGTTTTAATAGTGATATACACTTTGTTCCCTTAGTGGCTTTCTCAGCTATAATGAGTTTGCGTCTGGTCCGATAACTAGTGTTAAAATCAAAAATAAAGCTTATCCTAAACCATTAGGATAGTGATTATCCTAAACCATTAGGATAGAGATTAAGGTGATAATGATTGAATTAGATTATTAAATTAATCATTTTATACGTTAGATATGGAAGTTTATATTTCTCTTACAATATTTTTTTTTTTGAAGTTTCAATTTCTACATTGATTTTTGGAATTTCCTTTTGTCCTGATGCGTACACAGTAGAAAGTATTTACATTTTACTTTGGTCACCCGGTAAAAGAGTATGGGCAAGTGTGTATACCGTATACTTGTACATACCGTGTTTTTGAAAACCGGTTGCTGTAGCTCTCGTATAACAACGTACCATAACAGTTCCTAGTATATGTACAAATCAAATTATTTCATATACTCCTATTGAAGAATAATTGAAGAATAAGATGTTCAAGACGCTGTCTAATTACTTTATAATCAATTCTAATTACTTATATCTAATTATTTATAATAATTCGATTTTTTTTTTATAACCAATTAAATGTGTTCATTAAATATATTTGTCAAAAAATTAACTTAGCACATCTAATGAAATTCGTTTAGTTTAAACTCAATAACGTTTCCTACTAATATTAATCTAATTTTACTTATTCTAATTTGGCAAATATTTTTTGACTTGGTAAATCAAAAATTGAACTCATTCAATATTATATGCTGAAATGTTTTTTGTGTCATTCGCTACACCGATATTGTTATAACGGTCATCCATTTTAGTAAATCTTACCAGTAAACTACTAATTTTCAATGATCTTTATCGATCATTGTATAGTAATTACCGCTACTATTATTATAATCATCATATCGTAATTCATCTACGCACTGGAAAACAAAGAAACGACATTTTACTAACAAACAACATTAGGTACTCTGTAGGATTAAATGTTTTGTTTTTATATTTTACCGCAATTACACGATACGAAATACTTCTATTACTACGAGGGGAAATTCAGAAGAAAAAAATCACCCAGTACCGTGTTATGTTATACTTTTTTATTACTTTACATGATTAAAAAATTAATAGTGCACTTTATTTATTAGTAGCCCTTTTAACTTTATGATAGACGGATTTATTCTCCCAATTAAATTCATCATAATTTTATAGTTCTAGAATTTGAAGAAAACACATTCAAGTTACAGATTCCAATTAAGATTAAGATAAAAAAACTTGATTTTTTATTTTATTAAAATAAAGTGCAGGTAAAGTTATTTTTAGATTTACATAATAATCGTCAAAGTTACGTTTTACAGTCAATAGATGTTGTCATGGTAGTGAATGTTTTATTAAATCAATTGTGTTTATAAATCCAAGGGTTGTTTAAAAAAAAAAAAAAAATGTAAGAAAAGTTTTTAAAAACTTTATGAAATTTATTCGTAAATTATCTATTAATATTATTATATTATATTGAATATAAATATTCAATCACAACTGTTTATTCATAAGTAATATTTTATAAGCACTATTTAGCCAAAAAAAAATCTTTCTTTTAATTTGACCTGTACAAATTAAATACAGTATCCTAATAATAAGAGGTTATTATACCGCAATTAATAAAATATTGTAAACATTTGAAATTTTAACTATATTGTTAACACATTAAGTCACGAATATTGCTATTTTTAATTGTGTGTTGTGAATTTGACTTTATTTGATTGGATTGTCGCCACATTATAATGCTTTTTTTTAAATAATACCGTTTTTACATACAACATGTAACCTATTATATTGTTATTTTACAAACACGTCGATATTCATTGCTCAAAGTTCAAGGATTTTAATTATTTCCTCGTTATATGAAAAATATTTAAAAAATAAACGTGGATAGAATGGCATTTATTCAAAAGCCAACAGTAACCTTTCGATATTACATTGTAATAAAAATATCACACAAGTATAAAATAAATAATTTTTATATTTAAGACATTGTACAGAATTATAAAATTCTAAATAATGGCTATGCTATTCTGTTTTAATGAATTCAATTAATTTCTGTGTAAATTGATCAGATAACTTAATCGATTCTATATTTTTATTGATGTCATCAATCAGTACAACAATTTTTTTTCCATTGTAATCACATTTATCAAAAATTGTATGAAAGTAGACTAAAGACCTAGCAAATTCCATTTTTTCTTAGTTGCACAGACTGAAGTGTTCGATAACTGTTAGAAGACTACGGGAGACTGTATGATACACATCATATGTCTACACAGACATCCTCGTAATTTCTGTATGACATCACTTGCATTTATACGATTTATCAATATAAGAAATACAAAATATATATAAATATTTTTAGAATTTTACCATCGCCAATTTTCTTGCTAATTTTGTTATAAGAACATGTTTTCATTATGATATACTTATTTTATGTCATGATTAATATTTTAAATATTGTTAATGGCTTCAAGTTTTTTAGTATTTCACATTTTGTAAGAGTTGTTATATTTATTAAAAAGTGTTAATAACTTGTTTAATTAAATTTAACCTATGAGTTTCTTATTAATATAATAACAAAGATAACACTACAATTTTCTTTATAACAGTAATTTATTCAACGAACATATTGTTAAAATTTCCCTAGAATACGATAAAGTACCATACTAGTAAACTATTAATAGCTTTATTTAATTTTTTTTTATTAGTCAACATGCATTTGTTCAGATTTTTACCCTTAGATATCAATAAAATTAATTTAAAAGTGTTTTTCTTTAAATAAATCTAATGAAGATATGCTTGTTTTTTTATATGTATAAGTTAAAAACAAATATTTAATAAATAATAATATTTTACTAAATTATATTCAACATGAACATTAATATTTTAAAATGATTTTATTCGTTACAAAATAAAATCGTAATG